AGCCAGAAAGCACCCCCTTACCAGAGTTAGGGCACTCCTGCAGCGCCTTGGCCATGAGCGTATTTGCGATGTTCTTCAGCCCTGCACGGTACTCCAGCCGCACCGACTCCAGCCTGAGGAGACAGGCCCCGGGAGGTCCCACAGCCATCTACCAACGGCGCATATTCTGGTAGCTGCCGGGAAGCCTTGTCTGAAAAGGCTCCCCACCCAGTCACAGCAGCAAGAACTCCATTCCCTGCACAGCACAGCTCACCCACCACAGAAGCAAGGCGCTGCCGCCCACATGCCTGCCAGCCCCACTGGCAACCGCCCCAAGGGCAACACCTCAGAAACTGACGCTGTCCAGATGCAGGTGAAGGTATCCGCAACAAGCAAGACCAGCCTGGGAGAGCCAGGGCCGCACAAGGCCCCCAGGAGCTGCCTGTCTGCAGAGTGCAGTACTCCAGCCCCGTCACCCTGAGCTGGATGCAGCACCTCCACGAACAGAGCCTGCACCTCGCAGACTCCTACCCACCTCCAGGGCCCTCCACGCCACCTCCTCTGTGGAGTCAGCTCTCCGGGGTCCATCCTTCCCTCGTCCCAGCCATCGTTAACCCCTCCCTCTCCCAGGCACCCTCCATCAGAACACAAACTAAACTGCATCAAACCATCTGCAGGCCTGTCCCAGTACCTAAGCCGAACCCTCCCAAGGCAGGGACCGTGATTCTTCATGGCCAGCACCTACTGCCTCGCAAGCCCCCGAGCCTGGAAACACTGCACAAGTCACTCCACACAAGCAGCTGGGTGAGGACGGCCCACCTGATGGGTGAGCTGTGCCAAGAGCCCAGGCTGCCCCCACTCATCAGGACTCACCACAGCCCAGGGTTCTTTGGGTTCTTCAGACGAGACTTTTCCAAAATGGCCCGGGCTCGAGTTAGCTGCCCAACCTTCTCCTCCAGCCGAGAGAGCAGAAGCCACAGGGGTGTGGAGTGGGGACACTTCTTCAACTGCAGCCGACAAGTGAGAGAGCAGCTCAGGTGGTGTCTATGAAGAACTGGGACACAGCCATGCCAGCTGCTCACTGCAGTGGGCGAGCCAGCACCTCCGGGCTGCCTGTGTCCCACTCTGCATTTGTGGGTTTACGAATGTGCGGTTGTGCCGTGGACCTGTGCACACAGGTCTGTACATACCAGCCTTTACTTCAGGTGTGCCACACTCTGCACTTCTGAGAGCAGCGTGTGCAGCTTCATACAAGGCAAAGGACAGAACTCAGTGAGGGGACCGGGGTGTGGGTCCTGAGCCCACAGCTCCCTCGCTGTAACCCCCAGCCCTCCACATCTCCTCAGAGGCGAAGGGCAATGGCCCTGCACCAGGGGGCTCAGTTCTGTGAATGCCGGGCCAGCTGCAGCCCGAGGGTGCAGGCAGACATACCCCCTGGTTATAGGCTTCCCGCGCCTTCTCCATCATCTCCTTCTGCTCCTCGATCTGCCCCTTCATCATCCACAGCTTGGGGAAGTCCTCATAGTGCCGCAGGGCCTCCTCACACAGATCCTGGGCTGCCCTGATGTTGTCTTGCACCCACTCCAGCTTCACAGACTTCATGAACACCTGTGGGGCAGACATGCACCGTCAGCAGGGCATCGGCTCCAGGGCACGTGCTTCGTGTTACGCTCGTCCTCGACACTGTTACCTGCAGCACTGTGGGTACTTTTGTAAGCTTTTCATAGCCTGTTTGTGTACACAAAAGGTGGGGATAAATATATGAGTATGTTTTTGTTTTGTTTTTTTGAGATGGAGTCTTGCTCTGTCACCCAGGCTGGAGTGCAGTGGCGCGATCTCGGCTCACTGCAAGCTCTGCCTCCCAGGTTCAAGTAATTCTCCTGCCTCAGCCTCCCCGAGTAGCTGGGACTACAGGCACACGCTACCACACCTGGCTAATTTTGTATTTTTAGTAGAGACGGGGTTTCACCATGTTGGTCAGGCTGGTGTTGAACTCCTGACCTCGTGATCTACCCTCCTCGGCCTTCCAAAGTGCTGGGATTGCAGGTGTGAGCCACCGCGCCCGGCCGCATGCAGGTTTTTTTGTTGTTGTTGTTGTTGTTGAGTTTCCCTCTTGCTGCCCAGGCTGGAGTGTAGTGGCGCAATCTCAGCTCATGGCAACCTCCACCCCCAGGTTCAAGCAATTCTCCTGCCTCAGCCTCCTGAGTAGCTGGGATTATAGGCACGTGCCACCACGTCCAGCTAATTTGTATTTTTAGTAGAGACAGGGTTTCTCCATGTTGGTCAGGCTGGTCTCAAACTCCCACCCTCAGGTAATCCATCCGCCCTGGCCTCCCAAAGAGATGGGATTACAGATGTGAGAGCCACCACGCCCGGCCACACGGATGTTTTAAAGTCACATCACAAGGATGAGTGTGCTGTGTGCTGAGATTACAGGCATGAGCCACCATGCCTGGCCATATGAATGTTTTAAAGTCACATCACAAAGATGAGTGTGCTGTGTGCTGAGATTATAGACGTGAGCCACCATGCCCGGCCATATGAATGTGCTCTGGTTTCGTTTGCCTGCTGTCATCTACATCACCACTCAAGCCAGGTGTGGGGCCCACGTGCGCACACCACGCACCCCGGATGGCCCAGCCCTGCCTGCCACTGCGTACCCGGGCGGTGGGGGCGCTGCTCCGCGCCTTGGCCAGCAGCCTCCGGGCCCGCTCGTACTCATCATTCTCGGACTCCAGCTTCACGGCCGCCAGCCAGATCTCCTCACTGTTGGGGTTGGCCTGGAGGGCAAGTACAGCAGCGTCAAGAGGGGTCAGAACACAGGGACCAGCGCCTGATCACACTTAATCAAAAGCAGGCAGGCAGGAACCGGGCCAGGCCTTGTTCTGCTGCAGGATTAGTCTGGCCCAAGCCCTTCCCAGGGAGGAGATGACAGAGCAGACTCCAGTGCAAGAATCCGGACTCACCTGGAAACACACAGGTCCATGTTCACTCTAGTACAGCGCGGACAGCGAGGAGGCTGCCAAAGCACTGAGCAACAATGGGGGTGGGAGCAGGGCCATCTTATCCAGGATCCATCCACACCCTCTCAAAGCCCCTGAATGGGTCACTCACACCCTATAGAGACCCACCACACCCAACCTCGCTCTTTGCCCTGAGCCTGATGAAAGGAAGCCAGCTGTTCTGTCCTCATGAGCCCACATGGGCAGGAGAGAGGACTCCCAGAGTGCCACTGACATGTGGAGAAGGCATCCACAGGCCGAGGAGGCTCACACAGCCCAGAGCCCAGTGGACACGAAGGCTCTGCCCTCAGAGCCTCCCCAGGGCTGGTGCCCAGGGCTGTCTGAATGCGTCCTAATCAGCACAGCCGCTCACTGACCATGCAGGACGACCACATCACAGACCTGAAAAGTAGCCCAAAAACGATGGGCAAGGAAAGCCGCCTGACAGGCAGCAGAGAGCGGGCAGGCGGAGGGGACGCTGCGGGCACCCACAGGAGTGATGCCATCTCAAACAGGCAGCAGAGAGCGGGCAGGC